GCTTTATAAACAGTAAAAACTCAAATTATTGATCAAGTTTATTTAAATATTCAGTTTATTCAATGCTCAAAGCAATGTCTTTTAGTTGAATATCTAATAGAAATTTAGCTAAATCGCTCTTCTACTGCATGCTAGATGGTATGAATAAAATGTCTTTTAGTTGAATATCTAATAGAAATTTAGCTAAATCGCTCTTCTACTGCATGCTAGATGGTATGAATAAAATCGTTTTCTCGATCCATCAATCTCGTAGTTCTGTTAGTACTTCATGTAAGCAGGCTGGTAGTCCGAATGCACAGCCCGAACACCTAGAAACTCGTACATTTCTTATAGAACAAATTCTGACCGAAAGGATCTAGAGCACTTCCGATACACCGAAGATTGGACGGAAAGTAACGAAGATTGGACGGAAGTAACCGATGGTCGAATCACTAGCACTACGGTCTTTGATTGTGTGTTCGATTCCGTTCGTTGTCATTTTCTCTACTTCGGAAGGCCGCTTGCAATCCTCAGCTCTTTGCCATTCGGCCCCCGAGCAACAAGAGTGTCAAATCATATCAAAATTATGACTTTATTTACCCCACAAAAAAATTATTTTCCTGAATTTGAAAATGACAAACAAGTTCGAAAAAGACAATTTTTAACTCGAAGATTTCGTTAGCAATCGAAGAGTTATTGTGGGGGAACGATCTGTCACTCACTAAGTCACTCACTCACTCACTTTCCTGTAAACTGCTTGTTGCCTTAGTAACTGCTATTTTTTGACTTATTAATTTTTAATTATTCATCTTCACGATCTATCTGTTTCTTTTTTTTTTCGAAGAGAAAGAAACTCATGTACTCGATGTGGCTCGAWCCCMCGAACTCTCGCTTCAACGACAGAGACACTACCACTAGACCATGTGCGCTTTAGACATTACGTCATGGCTGTTTTACTATAGCTTTTATGCGACACGAGATCAAACCATGGGTTTCCTGTGTCATAATCAATAAAACTACTTCTCAAGGGCTTCGAGGACCGAAATATATAATGTCGTTATAAGATTCTATTCTTTTCCGTAAAAAGTGTTTTCCGCTTCGAGTGTATGTCGACAGTGAAACGGATCCAGGGAAACGTAAGCTTACATGAAGCTTCTCGACCCTAAATTGTTGTTGATAAACGTCTCGGCCGAATTTGACCATTTAGAACTTACGTAGAAAACCAGATTTCAAGCAAATGGTTGTGAATATGCCCTTTGGATCTTGAGATAAGCTATCAAAGTGCTCAGTGAAATTTACTATTTTGTGTATAACTATAATTTGACTCTCGTTSTCATATGTTGTTCAGACTCACAACGGAAGCATGAGGAAGACTCGCCGATCCGACTAATTCGTTTCGAAAACCACTTTACGTATGTTCTATGTATCCATGTTCGTCTACAATTCAAAAAATGAATTCACTCGCTAACGTACTATTACATTGTAATATTTGATATATAGTTTATTGTGTGGTTAGCTATCGTACTCGTAGTACAATGATGCCGTACAACTGGTCAGGATTCAATCGAACCAACTATCATTTAATTCACCGTTACATAGTAAGCATTCTTAAAAGAATTGCTGGGAAAAATAATTTATAATAAAAAAAGAAATTAAAACAAAGATTACTTCCTGGGACTCGAACCGGGCCCGTCTGCACTCAAAGGCCACGTTTTACCCACTGAGCTGCGATGGCAAATTATTAATCTCATTGCTAAGACTGGCATATTTCGCCGACGCTCGCTAACCTCGGTAAGCACGAAAATCGAACCGCTTGGGATGTCTGCTTTAAGAAGGCAACTTGTCCATAACCGAAGTTAAAATAATAAGATTTTAACGAAAATTAATTATTCGTAAATCGTTTACTTGATTCATTGTTCCGAATTCGTCTATACAATCAATCTTCGAGTTGTATTGCCATTGGCAGCTTGATTGTGTTCTTGCCCGCCCCAAATCTGCCTCGCTTTGGTGCAAAACCACAGGTTTCTCGCGAAAATTTCCGTTTTCTAAACGCGAAAAGGGCAAGCAAGCTGTTTATTTTCATACCTTTCTTAATCTTTGTATAAACCTTTGCCTTGTTTTCTCGACCCATATTGTTCTTGAACAATACACTTGCTTTGCATAGTAAACTATAAGTTTTCTATCAAACTCATAAGAGGTTTTTTTCCGCATGAGATATAAAATTCTTTCAATGAAAATTTTACTTCGTTTGCCTCTACCGACAAAATTTTGTTTTCTTGACACTGGAAGTATGATCAAGAAGTCTTTTTAGACAATCAGATACACAGTCCCATATGTACTCGCGTTATAGACAATAAGAAAAAGGGCCTGGCTATCGTAACGCCATATATTATGAATAAGATCTGAAAGTTCCAATGCTCTAATATTTAAGGAACAGAAATTACAGGTGTTTGAAAACTCAGTATTGAGGCCTTGCCGGCCTCGTTTTCACGTTTGTCGCACGTTTCAAATGCTCGTAGCTCTTCCGATATTCAACATTAGAAAAAAAACTCCTCAAGCTGACTAGTTTAGATATACTGTTTTTACTAGTAAAAACTGTTTTATAAAAATCTGCTGGATCGTTTAAGGTGCTTATCCCCAGTCTTCTGCTCGTTTTGTGGTTACTCCTAAGGGACGGAGTACCCACTATGTTATCGCGCGATGTAAACAAGACATGTTCTGCAACAACCCAGCGTATAGCCAGGCGTTCCTAACCGATGCAGGCTGACGTAATGCAAAACAGAATTACGTCATTTTCCGATGGGTTCACGACAATACAGCGGAACTTCCGACCGCTTGTTCGGATGTTTTTACGAAAACAGCGGAAATGCCTCGTGCGAAGTGGTGTGGTGGGTTTTAAAAGTCTGGCGGTGAGTATCTTGTTCTTTTATCACGTTTTTGCTCTTTATCTATCACAGCTTTCATTGTACATTATCAGGTAGCAATGAAAAGTGTTTGCTTAATTGTTTTTCAGCTTTTAACTCGCTCCTTACGGCGAATTAACCGGTTAAATCCACACTTGATGGTCAACGAAGCCGAAAGCATGTTCTCCCCAATCATGCACAACAACACTGAAAACGAAACAAATACTAAACAAACAGCAATCACAAAGACGAACTGTAACCCCCTTTGTGGGAATACTGACACTCGTAAGAGGACAATTGAGCCGCCCCTTCGGGGGATTATTCAGCCTCGCAAGAGGATAATTGAGACCATTCGGGAGAGAGAAGGTGGTATGCACGACTTGTTC